TTAAAGTACAAAAGATAACTCAAATGTACAAAACTGCTCATAAAAAGAAAAGCTAAAACTGAAGCCTAAACATCTCTGAACCATTTATCTCATATGCTTTGCTTCAGACCTTCACTCCTATCCTTTGAGCAACCTGCAGAACAATAACAAAAAAATGAATATAATAAACTCTGAGAGATTTTAAAGAGACCAGAGAGATTTCGTTTACCTGTTTAAAAGAAGTAACTTCACTTCCCCAGAGCCAAGCGTCACAGCCTGCGTCTCTAGCGCCCCATACATCGTTCCTACGGTCATCTCCTACATGAACCGCATCCTCGGGATTCACTCCTATCAATTCACATGCTTTCAAGAAGATGATCGGGTTTGGTTTCTCTGCTTCAACCTGCCAAACAATCAACCAAAATCATTTTAATACACACTCGCTCTCAAAACGTAATTCAGATCATCAACCAAAAGATATAAAAGGAAAAGAGAGGTTATGTTACTTCTGCTGAAACAGCCACAGCATCAAACCAGTCTTCACATCTCAGTGCTCGTAGGAGAGGTCTTAATCGAGTGTCGAAGTTGGACACAATGGCAACTTTTACACCCGCTTCTTTAATCGCTTTGAACACTTTCTCTGCCTCTGGATCACATAGCTTCCACGCCTGGTAAAGCAAATGGATAACATATCAAGAGAAAGAAAACAAACTTTAGAAAGTGTTCCTCAAGCGTATGGAGAAATAGTAGCGGAGATCAAACCTGTTCTGTAGTAAAATAGTCGTAAAGTTCTTCAAAGTACTGAGAATCCGAACATCCAGTTGATGCAGTCACTATATATTGCCAGAAAGGTCTCGCATCGTTTACATATCTGCAAACAAAGGAGTAAGAATTAAGATCATCACACCCGATTATCACTCGCAAGTAACTCCTCTTAAACCAGAGACATTCATGAATCCCACAACAAATTCAACTTCCAGAGTAAGTTTTACAGAGATGAATCAATAGAGCCTTAATCGTGATGTACTAAACATAATGCAATCTCTGTCAAATCCATCATTCAAGTTGTGAGCATAATGCAATCTATGTGAACTCTAGTACTCATCAAGTGGCGGTTTTCTTGGATTAGAAGAAACATGAAGAGGAAGATGAAGATACCTAAGATGAGAACCACCCCATGGTTTCTGATAAGCTCTTCTGTATCTAGTAAGAATCTCAGCCTCCGAGTACACAACTCCATACTTCTCTCCAATACTCTTGTATATCTACAGAATCAAAAACCCCAAACAGAACTTAGAAATACACACATTGAATTGAAATTCCCAATCTTATCTTCTAGGAAAATCAGAGATCATAACACGAAGCATCTCAGGATTCCAAAACATAACAAACTTCAATCCAACAAAACAATCAGAGAATTTCCAGTCGCAGTAATCAAAATAACGAGAAACACATCAAACATGTGAAGCATGTTTTTGTGCAAATCGTTTGAAATCACAAAGAGATTAGAGATTTCAACACAAAACCTGAGCCGTAGGTTGAGCAGGAACAAGGAGAGTACCAACGGCATCAACAAGCAAAGCCTTGTGAGTGTATTCACCATAGAGAGATCTCCGATAATCTTCGTACTCTTTCAATACACTTCCCAATCCGTAAATCCCTCCAGATTCATCATCCGCCACAACGGCGGAAGATGACGAAGCAGAGGAGATCCAACGGCTGAGCAATGCGCCGGTTCTATCGATCCGATCGGTTCCGTGACGAATCACACCGGAGTTACAGACACGAGAGTTTCCGAAAACGGAGAAGAGAAGTGTCGTCGCCCTTCTGCTTCGTATCATCGCCATAGCTCTCTCTCTGAGATTGTTGTTCCGTTCTCTTCGGCTTTTCTTGGGGTTATAAAAGGAGGAGAAGATGCAGTGTGGAGAATCTTTAAAGAATGGCCCCATAAAGATGTGTGAAATTACAGTCGTGCCCTTTTCCATATATTATTATATATCCAGTTTTTAACCCTTATCCGTTGAAGGGATAAGGCGCTAATCTGATTAGAGGAACTGATGATGTTATTAGTGGTCTATTAAAAAAATTTGTTACACTCTTTGATTTTAAAATATACCATTATGATACCTTTTTTTTTTGTTTTAATTCCACATAAGAGTGTCTAATGATATGAAATATTTGATCACATGAGATCCATTTATTAAAGGTATGTATGTTCTCGACAAAAATAAAAGAGGTTTATTTTCTTTTAAAAAGTTAAAATAGCTTTA